AGGAAACATCATGAGGATAGATGCCAAAAAGGATTTGGGTATCTGGGTCTCTTCAAACTTGTCTTTCTCACTGCACCATGAGAAATCGGCCCAAAGGCATTCGCCATTTCACGGATGATCCGACGCACCTTCTCCCGTATTACTCGCATGGACTTCAAAATACTCTATGGGGCCTACGTCAGACCGCTCCTGGAATACGCCAACCAAGTTGTCTACTCAGGACGCACGAAAGACGTCATCCTCATTGAACGTGTCCAGCAAGCTGCCACGAGAATGGTTGTCGGCCTCAAATCCGTGGACTGCGAAACGCGTCTCGCGATGCTCGATCTCTTTCCCCTGGAGTACCGTTGCCTCCCAGGGGACCTAATTCTTACTTATGCCCTGTTTGAACAAAGCTTGGCAAACAGGTTTTTTACCGTTGACCCAGCAAACACACGGCGGGGACATAGTAAGAAAATTTTCAAGCTCAAAGCACACACATTCATTGGAAAAATTTTTCTCTCATTTCGGGTAGTAGGTGCGTGGAATAACCTTCCTCCGACGTTTGTTCACGCTCCTTCTAGAACCCAGTTTAAAGCACTATTAGACACTTATTCATGCGAATCCTCGCGCTGGCGAGCATACTGCTCCGCGCTGAGAACATGAAGAGCAGTGCTACACCCTTTTTTCACTTGTGCCTTTCAGGTGAACGACAGCCACTTACCGAGAGGAACAAAACCGACCCGGGAAACTTGGGCAATAGCCTTGATCCTGTGTATCAGTCCGTGACGTAGTGACTCGTGTTGTCTACGATGTGGGGGTTACACTCAGCCCCCAGGTTGAAAGTGCTTTACTTGACTGGATTCCATCTACAGTCGGCTTTGCGCTGTGCGGTTTTCTGTTCAAGCTAAGATCAACGCCTGTTGATGTATTAAACGGTGTTAATTTGTCATGTCAGCTCTCCCCTGACGGGCTGCAGTTCTGATTTTAAGAAGGACGGGTTTTATCGAGATCTGTTGTGATTGCTTCGGTTAGCAGGCAGAACGGATATAATGATATTAGCTGGTGATATTAATGCCAAAATTGGCCAATTAAGTTCGAAAGAAGCACAATTAGATGGTTGAGTTGGAGTTAAGGCTCAACGTATGGACAGTAGGGAGCAATTTCTTACGTTGTGTGCTGACCATCTGTTCCAGATCAGTGCAAACCTTCTGCATGAACACCCACGTCGAATTATTTGGAGGCCACTAACCACAAGATGGGCTTGAACTCGGACTAGGTCGCCATCAGTTGCAGATTGTTGTTCCTTATGGAGTAGGCAGGTTGACTCTGGTCATACCATCGTGCGGGCCCGGTTATCACTTCACCTTCCGTCTGATTCCGGTTGTCGAAGCAGAGCAACTCAGGTCATCAATTTCGACAGTAGCTCAAGGATATCGAGTTGATCTGCCTAGGAAGCTACTGGAAATGAACTGTCATGCGGATGAGTAAGGTTGAATGGGATTGGGTTAAAGAATCTATGATCTCAGCTTTCAAGTGTTTGTTCGAGTCATCTGACTCAACTAATTGAATACTGGATATCGTCGAGATCAGTAGGTCGTATGAGGGTGGGATGGATCATTGTTTAGATGGTGAGCTTACTGACCGGAAGGTCCGTGGTTCAAACCCGATCTCTGCATGTCGACTTCTCTAAGCTTGGGCGACCTGGCGATATCCCAAACCTTGTGCTTCCTTCAAGTGGCAGAGCTTTCTAGTATGGCATTTAGGCTCTGAAAGGGTGTTACAGCTGAACGGTTGCTTTCCTTTCTTCAATGGTACACGTGTGCCTCTCGACTTCCCCTGTCTAGGCTTGGGCGGCCTGGCAGTATCCCAGCCCTCGTGTTTCCTTCGTGTGGCATGGCAGCTAGGCTAGCTGGAGCTGAACGATTTTTTTTCGTGTCAAAGCTACTGCCCTCAGTACTTAGCTACCCAGTTCCTGAACTGACCAAGGACGGCTATATGTCCCACACTCTTCCGCTTCCCGGTGCTCGACCCAATTTGCCTGTGGTACACTTATGGCTGAGAATTTGATTGCCTTATTCAAATACGGAGAATCCGTAACGAGGCAATTAGAAAGCGAATTTTCGGTTGTGCAACGGGTACTTCCACTGGAGAATGTGCCCAGCACCAGAAGCTGCGTTGGTTGGGACATGTGTTGCGTAGCTGAACCATCGTTTGCCGAAGAGAGTGCTGTTCTCCATGCCCAACTCAGAGTGGCGTAAACAGAGAGGTGGCCAACCCTTGACTTGGCAGAGAAGTATGAAGGAGATCACGAAACGCTTGGGTGCTGTCGGTGCTACTCGCCTTCCCGGATGGGGACCATGTGACCTTCACTGTGCCTGATTAGAGACACTACAAGTTGTGGCTGCCAACCGATGTTAGTGGCGTTATTGTTCAGTTTCTATCCGGATTGGCCGAATGAGTATCTGGAGGTGTAAGCGCCTTGGTAGTAAGCTAACACTGAGTCCCTTCCCCGTCCACCTTTATTCTTTTCTTCACCATAAGGCTTTCAAATAAATCATAGCGGTACGGTAGCGAGGCATCGATGTTGAACAGTGATGTCATGCTTTCGATGGTCGTGATTATGATTATGTACCATTCGTCCTTTGCCTTCCTTCCCGACTGATCTTTTCTCTTACGACAATTAGTTTTGTCATAGCATTTGCTTAAAACTGCGGGGAGAAACCAATAACAGCACACTTTCTTCTGTGTTTCAGTAATCGGGTCTTGCTCCGTCACTCGAATATTTTCGGGATAATTCTGTGCCGTTCTTGTGCCATTTGAATCACTGTCGCTCATGCGTAAGTCTGCATATTTTTGGGTTGATCTCATTCATTTGTAGAACCACCGTGTGATCCACCTCCGCCCTATAGCCCACAAGGCTACTCAGCTGCCTATCCCCAAGCCCCACCGCGACCCCCCCTGCAGTACCCAGCGCAATATGTTCGGCCGTATCCAACCCAGCCTGCAATGACATACACAAACGTCGGAACAGTTCCTTACCCATTGTCCCAACCTATTGGTCATGGTCCGGTTCCTGTTCAAGGCTGCCAATTTGACGGAGGCGCGCGTTTCTCACCACAGTGCCCGCCCACAATTCCAGTTAGTTCTCCGATGTCACTGCGTTTTTCCATGTAACCTTGGCTGCCCAGTTGGGCTTATAACATAGTGATTCAGTTTTTAGCATTTGGAGATGGTGAAGAAATTGTTTCCTCGTAACCAGTGTTAATGGAGAGATGACCAGTCATTGCTACTCTTGTTAGTGTGCAGATTGAGGTCGTTTCAATTGTGGCTGTCGATGTGATGGAGGGTCTATACTAACCAATCGGGAGTAGTTTTTTTTCTGTCTACCGATTTCTGTGGTTCATCCATGGATTCATAGGAGGAATGACGGTCACTTACTTAAGTGTCTGATGAAACTGACCTTCATACTTTGCCGTCCTGTGTCCATTAGGACGTTTCCACATGGAAGGGCTAAGCTGATCTTGTTAATGCTCTAACGGAATCCGAAAACTAGTTATACGAACGAGAGAACGGGGAGCATTAACAATGTCCGCTTGTTGAGTAAAATTATTACAATAGATATATATGCAAACAAGGGACTTATCGTTTTGCAGGTACAGTTTGATAAATCCTGTTGTAAATCCGGATGCAAGTTTCCTGTCTTCTTCGCTGTTGTAACAGCCGCACGTAGTCCTGGATATCCGTGAGTGAAGCGCCGTAAAGTCCTGAGTGGCTCTGCTCCGAGCTGGGCGACGTGCGAAGCTCTGTTGAGTTGTGTCGTGTTGCTGTGCTGGCATCCCATTTGTAGGACGTTTGCGTGTGTGTGGGTGTCAGCACATGACTTTGCTACCGTATCAGACGGTAGACAGTCGATATCGGATGTGTATCGTGGTTTGTACTATTAGGGAAAAAACGAGGTCTTGGGATGAAGGGCTTGACTGTGAGCTGTGTAGTCAAGTTAGTCACGATTGTAGCGTGATTTGTGAGTGCAAGGAAAAAAAAATAAATCTCGTGATCCGGCGAGTGGCGGTGACCTGTACAATCATGTACGTGGCGAAAGGGTAGCTACAATCTCTGAAATGTTTGCTGCGCTCATGTTCGAAAAAAATGGCCACTTATATTGTCATCACTTTCTGACTTATTGTACCTGAAATACTTCGTACATAAAACATTCGGTTTGTCCAGGCATCCGTAACTCCCAGTAAACACGCCACTGGTAGCTATCGGCAAATATGGGTGGAACGTTACGCTTGCCTACAGCGGCTACGGTCAGCTAAAGGTTGCAAATCAAAAAAATTTTGTAGCACAGCTCTGATACCTTTTCCCAAGTTTTTCAAAGCTGGTGGCAGTCGGGTGTCGTCAACAGTTGCGGCCTTAAAGTCATCGAGGCGTATATACCACCAAACCAGCTGTGTCTGGTAGTGCTCGGTTTCACTATTAGATTTCACGGCATCTGAACGATAACCAAATGCGGTATCTAATTAGAAAGTGTCATGCTTATGATAACATGTGGCATGGTCGATGGATAAGGAGATGAGCGCAAAATAGAAATGTGATAAACGAGTAACTTTATTTGGTTTTTGTCCATCCGCCTCCATGGTCCTCGCACGTCGATGTTTTAGGTTTCGAGGGAATCGATCAAATAACCCTTTGGACCTCGACTGAATGACTTCCTCTATGAAGTCCATTGTTATAATCGAATGTCTGGCTACTGGTATCCGCCAGTGTTAGTGCGAAAAAAATTATCTCGCTCTTTAAAAGCCTTAGTAATTCTGTGTAAAAGATAGATTTTTTCTTCGCCATTTAACCAAGTTCCGACTGGCACACACCATGTCGAGTCTGACGTTGAATTTCCTAGTTTAGCTTGAGTCATTTATAATTGGTTTAAAGTATATGTACCTGTGTATTCCTGCCCCGCCGTTTCTCGCTTTCGTTCACTTACTTTGGCTATCAGTTGCGTTCTGTCACCAAACGTCTGGACTTTGTGACGATGTGACGTGCGCCTTCGTGACCCATTGAGCCATATTGAGTGAGGATATCACTCAGGCTGGCCACCAGCAATATAGTCTCCTGACCATCTACATTAAACATCGCTATCTTATAGTCTGGTTTTCGGGAAAATACTTTTGTTGTGCCCGACAATCATCCTCTTGTCCCTGTAAAATCGTAATCCCCACAACCAGAAATAATCTAATGTTACCTTGGTCGTCACGCGGTTTTCATCCGGGTCACCTTAGTTGCTGTATTCAGCAAGGCGGATAAACCAAACGAGTACTGATGGTGCATCTCTGTTCTCTTTCACACACTTTTCTTCCCTTCCTCACCCCACTAATAATACTCTGTTATGACTTACCGTCGTAAACGTCCAGCATGAATCTTATTCGCGGAGTCTACGCGTCAGTCGACGCTGACAATCTCAGATCTCTTGAAATTGATCTTCAAGTTTCGGCACCCGATTCAGGGGGCGAGATGACTCAGTGGTTAGAGCGCGAATTCACTGGTCGGAAGGTGTGTAGTTTGAACCTGACTTCTGCGTCTCGACTACTGTTTTCCAGGCTTGGGCAACTTGGCAGTACCCCAGCCCTTGTGCTTCCGGGTGGCATGGCAGCTAGGCACCGAAAGGATGTTACAGCTGAACGATTTCGGACCCGGTTCATCAGATTGTCTTTAATCTTCGCACTTCAAGGAACAATATACAACAGCATACTGCTGTTGCTCGCAAACTGGACTCGCTTGACACAATCGTTTAACTAACTTTCCCGTTACTCTCCTTTCGCCTCGGTTTACGCAACTGCAGTGGCCGAAGGGCAGCTGGTAGAGGTTCAAGGGTCTGTATCGTTCTGCGTCATTGGGCAGAAGGGTCCATGTTGGAGTGGGTTACCGCTAATATCGATTTCTAAATCCTATAAATAAACAGTCGCTGGTTGCTTGTTTGTCATAGCTGGGCATGACTCAGTGGTTAAAGCGCTGTGTTACTGACCTGAAGGTCCGTGGTTCGAACCCAACCCGAGCTTAGGCAACGTGCTAGTGTCTTGGCCCCCTGCTTCCTTCAGGTAACGTAGCAACTAGGTAGCGAAAGGGTGTCATGTCTGAATGATTATTGACATGATTCGGTTGTTTACCTTGTCTTATTAGGTTCCAGTATAACGCGGTTCTGACAGCATAAAAGGAGTTTTCATGAGATTTTGGGCGCCTTCTCACAATGGGCTTAAGGCATGGATATCGGTGTGGTTTCTGAGGATTTGAATGGAAATCACCTGAGACTCAACTGAGTCATTGGTTTGGATTAAACTCGGTATGATTAACGTCCGCTTTTGGAGAGGGCTCACTGTAGGCTACCGCAATGACCGAAATCGTCTGGCTACGTGATGCCCTCTACTAGCGTGCAAACAACATGACCCATTTACTCATAGCGCAGACCAACAACCGACTGTCTCTTCTTTCGTCTGGCTACGTGATACCCTCTACTAGCGTGCAAACAACATGACCCATTTACTCCATAGCGCAGCCCAACAACCGACTGTCTCTTCTTTCGGAACACGTGGGGCTTCTCGTTATGCATTTGTCAGGAGTAGATTTTGTCTTTATCTTACAAGACTGCAAGCGGCGGACATCCGCTTATCATCTTGAGGGATCGTACATCCCGAAGTCAGACGACTTGATCAAAACCATCATCTGGACCGCTTTTCATGCATTCCAACACGATATTAGTTTCCGCTAGAATATGCTTCGCAATTCTCGGAAGGTTTACACTAGGCACGGTACAGTCAGCTTTTGACACTGGATGTCAAGCAGAGCGGTAACATTACTCGAATCTCGGTAAAATGTCCCTGAACACTTAAACCCATCCAAAGATCAGAGGTCGAGCGGAAATTGGTGTGAGTACCGGCCGTGAAATCTGGCAGGCACAAGGTTAAGGAACCGTAGGAAGCAAAGAATGCAAGGACTGCATGAGGTTTATTCCATTTAATCCGTACACCGGGTCCTCGAAAACTGTTTGTGAACAATAGCATCAGGGGTCGAACTGCCTCGATCACCCCCAATAAACAGCACGCTTCTATCGCTAGGCCTAACAATTTGAGCAACTCTCGTGACCACCTGCTTTTATTGCGCTAAATTCTGGAACTATATCAGAATCCTGGGCCGTGAGAATGAACCTCGCTCCTCTTCGAAGATTCATGGCTGCGAATCTTCTCTAAAACGTCACCGGACTATTGGGCCGGATGAACTCCCATCTGGGTTATTGAAAGGGTGGATGAGGTTCTCAGTCATCTTTTGTCTGATTTGTCTTTTCATATTTGGGAAAACCACACTGTCCCAAGTAAATGTGGCAAATCGTTAATAGTGCATATCTTCAAAGAAGGGTCCCGAAGTGAACATGGGATCAGCTTGACTTTGGTCGTGATGAGGTTTTTAGCTTTACTTTTCCTTCGTCGCCAGTACAGCGTTGATTTGAGAACAGCAAACGGGAACTCGGCTGGGTGGGTTTTGAGTTGACCGCATTTTCACACTCCGTCAGATACCAGAACAGCATCAAATGTGTAAACTTCTCATAATGTTGATACTTCCAGAGGCCATCACTATACGCCTGCGAAACCCGGTACTGTGCTGTCAAAAACATTTCGTACGAACGCTGAGTCTGCCTTGGTCGTGTGACGCGAACAGCCGGGCAAGTCACTCAACGGCCCTCTATACTGTCTTACAGCATCCAACTAGATGCGACATGGGGGCGCAAACAACCACTCGTTCGTGTCTCCACGTTTTGCATTTCACTAACCAATCTTCGCTGCGTATTTCGTTTTTCGCTCCGTAACCATGAGGTATGTACTGGCCTGATGACGAGATCCCGAAAACATTAATGTTCGTCACTGCGTTCCTTTTAAAACCATAGGGATATTTAAACAATTCATTCTGTTCACTCATCTGTTATCTTCAACATTTCCCAGCAGGGAACGCCCCGGAAGTTTGTGAATGTAATAGGTTTTTTGTATTCTATAACTTGTGGATGTGTGAGAGTATATGTGGAGCTCTCCAAAGGCCTTCCCACAAAAAGTGGTGTCACTCAGGGATGTCCGTTATCTCCATTTCATTCAGTTTCG